GGATGATTACTTGTTACTATGTTTCTCTGACAATTTCTAAAAACATTAACTAAAAAGAATATCAAGAATCACCATAATGACTATATATTCTGATATATATTGGCTTAGGATGGATATTATACTGCCATAAATACAGAGAAGTTTTAAAACAACCATGAACCATGAAAAAAAAAAAATCTAGTCTTATGGTAATAGGTAATATGAGCTCCATTCCAGAGAGAAAAATTGAGATTAAAGTGGTTTTTTCAAAGACTAAAGAAGATTTAATTAGCAAAACTAAAACTAATTAATGAATACCTAACTCCAGATGGTATGCTCATATCACTGGTATTTCCTAACAATGATAATACACAAAACTTTTAAGTGTACGTATCAGCAGGTTTTATATGTTTAAAGTCTGATGTTTTATATGACAATCTGTGCACTGAAATCACTTTCTCTCTCAAGCTGTTTTCCCCCAAACCCACATTTTCTATTCAGTGCAATGTTATATTAATCACACTGTTTATTTTATTATTGACATTAAATGAGCCTAAGGAAAAAGAAATAACTACTGTACAGAGCAATATTTTGGGCTGTTGGGCTAAAAACTGGTTGTAGTTTTACTGACAAGCTACATATAAAAAATTTGAATATACACACCAAAACACTGAAAGGCAAATTCCAAATGTTCAAACTATTTTTAAATGCCCAATGTGATATTTATTAGGACACACACTGCTATACTTAGGAAGTACAAAAATGTGTAGTGAACAACAAGCTGTGTGTCACAGCAATAGCTATTGAAAGCTCTAAAGGTATTAGAGGAGATACTGTCAGCATAACATAAGCTCTTAATAATAAGCATATCTGAAGAATGCTGTATCTTAAAATATTTCAATTCCTTTGGTTTCCAGTCACCAGTAGTGATTCAAAAATAATAATAATAATAATGGAAAATAATGTTTTATTGCATCTTTTTTGTTTGTGGGAAATAACAGTTTCTCTACCTAGCTTAGTAAAAAATATAGTAACTGTTTTTCCTCACTGAACTGAGGTGAATTTTTAGTTAAGCATCTGCTCTGTATAGCAGGTCAACTCCTTCCTGGAAGGATCCTCAAAGCCTACTTGCAAATGTAATGGCACCAGGTGATTAAAATTTCATCAGTAAATATGACCAAGCAACTAATACCTCTGTGGCAGTCTAGCAGTTTAAGCCTCTCTATTTTCTACTTCTTTAATCAATGTCTGTCCCAGCTATAAAAATATATAATGATCTTCCATGTTCAGATGTGGGCTGCAAGGCCCAGAGGAAGATTATGCTTTTTGAAGCCTATTTTTGGTACAGGGAAAACTAGAGTTAATGAGGCATAATAAGCACAATTATTTTGTGTGTCATTACAATTTTATATTAAACACAAGGTAATCATCACCACAGAATGACCCTCAGTCTAACTGAAAAAGACGTGACAGATACCACCCACTTTTAACTTTTTTGTTTGTTTTTACACTTTGGGAGGCTTCCTTTGCTATAAAAGAACATTCAGATAATGAGAATTGCTTTATATCACTTGGGCTGCTCATTAAGTTGAAGGCAGAACATAGAAACACTTGTGTCTTTCCCTCCCTACGGTCAAAACATGCATACACCCACTTCAGAATCCATAAACTAAATTAGTCAGTCTTGCATATTTCTCCCTCAAGTGCTGACAAACTGTAACAAGGTACTTCTTGGATCACTTTAAAGTTATTTGAAATACTAGTTGTAACCAGAACAGCAGAATAAGACCAGTAAAGATGCAGCTAAGGCATCCCAAGTCCTCACAAGGACTCCTTCAGCCAAGGGATGGCAGCTGCCTGCCACACAGTGAAGCAGCCAGGAAAGCTGGCACACACAGGGTAATTTGGAGGCAGCTTCACCATCTTCTTCTCACTTAACTCTCCCACGGTGCATTTTCAGGTTTTTTTAAGAGATAATCCATGCTCATGCTTTTGAGTATTTTTCCCACATTGTCAGTGATTGACAAAAACAGCCTGGAGAAATGTAAACTGCAGAAAGGCTGTGGCTGCCTGCAGGAGTAGAGGCTTTCTCACCTGCAGCAGAACACGACTCTGCCTGCACTGCCTGCAAGGCACCCCTGAAGGGACCAGAAGAAAGTACCAGTGAGGTGATTATCACCCATTTCTTCCCTGAGGATTGAAGATGGAGAAGCTGCTGAATATGTTTGCCTCAAAGTCCCACAGTAGCAGATAAGATTATAATCTTACACATATCACAACACAGAGAACCTGGTAATAAACCACCACCACATGAGACAACTCCATTTCCAAAGCAGTTCAGCCACATTAGTACACAAATGCACCCATGCTAAAAGCCTGCCTCAACAAATGCCCTTATGACTACAGCACATCAGCTCAGTGTTGCACAGCAGTCAGCCACCAGTGCCATTCAGCCTGCTAGACCAGAATACAGATGGATCTGGAACAAAACACTCATCTTTCTCTTTAGTAAAGCTGGTCTTCACAGATTCCTATTTCTTTATCAGTTTCCACACCGTGAGTTTTTCGAGGGATGCCTCATTGCTTTTTAGATTACGACAGAAGCAGCTCTTGTTCAGAAGAAGCTCTTTGCAGGAGATGAGAGAAAAAGCAGAACTATCAGGGAAAATTATCCTGCTACTCCACAATTTTCAGAAGTAAGAAAATACTGTTGAGGAGAAACTTGCTACAAGCTGAGGAAAGCAGAGAAATGAGGAGTGACAGCTTCTTCTTAGTAGCCTAAAAATAAGGAAAACACTTCTCCACTCTACTGTTTGACTGAGCAGCCCATTGTCCCACTCTCTGAATAGCCTATTTATCACTAGAATTCATAAAACGAGAAAAAAGAGGCAAACAAAAATAAATTGTTTTTCCTATGTCAACCTCATTTAATTACTGAAGAGTAGTTTGAATTGTTGATCTCCTAATGCTTTGGCAGGATTGGTAGCCAGTCTAGTCCAGTCAGGCTTGCCTGACTATATGAGAAATAGAAAATGAAATTAGCATAGTCAAAGCCAAGGATAATTTTAGAAATATTTACAATAATGAATGGAGTTGGGTGACAGGTCACATTAGCTAGGGGTGTCGTATACCCAGCCTTGTTGCAATGTATGTGGGCTAGTAAATATTCAGCAGAAGTTTAACAGGATATTTTGAGCAGATTTATTTAAGTCAGCTCAGTCATGTCTATATCACTGCTTGACATACTGTCTTTGCTTTTACACATCTTACAAGACACTTAATGTCAGCTTATATGGCAAGAAACCAGACGATCATGTACACACGAGTCTGTGCATACTGAGATGTGTAGATGAAAACAGCTCATCTTGTCTCCTGGGAGCATAATACCCAGTAGTCAAATTTCCAGACAATGCTGCAGCCAACCCTACTATTGGGCAAAAATAAGCATGTTGTGTTTTTTTTGATCACAAAATCTGCCTCATTGCAAGCAGACAACTAATAATGTCTGGGCATCTCCACCAAGGACAAAAAATGAACATGCATTAACTAACCAAGTGCATACACACTTTTCTTTCCAAGGAATTCCAGTGTTTTAATATGAGTTTTATACTGTCACTAAACTTGTACCTCTCAGAGCTTCATATAATCACTCTGGTGTGCTGGCTCGCTGTTCAGTTACTTCATTTCCTGCTCTCCTGTGCTAGTTTTGAAAAAAAAGTAAAACAAATGGGATGTGCTTGTTCACAATTTTAAAAACTCACTTACTGCAGCAACAAGTTCAGTAATTTTCCTAGGGTGAGAAAGTATATGAAGAAGAGTTACAAAATCAGACTGACAAACTACTAAAATGCTGCTTTGCTGGGCATTTTATCTGTCAAATCTACTTTTTCACTCTCTATCAGCTCACAGGAACCACCTGCATTTGCCTCTTACTATCACAGCTTTTAGACAATGGCATGACACAGCTGTCTAATCAAAATGCACAACTCTATTAGCAGATGACTTCACATTACATAAGGAGTTTCTGAGCAGAGCACTGAAAAAACTCAAGTACTCAAGCACTGTCAAATTTTTCTTTCACAGACAGGCAAAGCAATCAACTAATCCCTTCTCACTTCTGATGAGCTGTGAATAAGGAAGGCTTAGTCAATGTCTACATTGCACTCACAGGTGATATTTTGGCCACTCATATAAACTTGCATTTGTGCCAGGAGCAGTACAGCCAGGCAGCATGGACTTCAGGATCCAAGCTGGATCTGCCATACATGCTTGAAACCACACAGCTACAGCTAAACATTGTTACTGATACCTAAACTGGCAGGTTTACTACTGCCTGTTTGGATATGTTTACACTAGCTGTAGTCACATCTCATCACAGCATTGATATAACCTTTGAGACATGGATGGGCAATGTTACAAATAGCTGATATTTACACATGAGCAGGAAGGCATAAGTATTTGACAATAACTCTTTACAGTACTCGTAGGCAAAGGGAACTACAGTAATTTCCTAGGCTGAATTATACCTGACCTCATTTCCTCATTTTTATTATGTAGTATTGACATTATTTGCATCAGATGAAATAAAGGAACAGCATTTCCCTGATGCTGTCCTTTACTACTTCTTATATTTTCTAATCAGAGAAAACAGAACATTTGGTTAACTCACAAAAAATGTTCATTAGCGTGCTATATACCAGATTCAAATGGAAAAACACCAGGGTGGGCTTTATAATACTAATAATGCATCTTTAATTTCAAAACACAGAACTAATACTACTGAAAAAGAAAGTATCCCCTTACCTTAGGGTCTCCTTTTCTCCATGTCAATGCCAAACCTGTAACACCTAATCAAAACACATTCCTGCTTTTCCCCATTTTTTACTGATGGACATACCACTGCAACTCAAAATTACATTTCTTAAAGTATTCTCTTTAGATGTTGCTAGTAAAATCAGACAATTCAAAGGCAAAGATAGACAGGAATAAGTAAAACATTCACCATAAAAAGCAAAAATTACCTTTAGCAGGGTTTACTTTTATCCCTGACCTATACAGCATCTCCTCATTCTGCCAGTCCCCATTCCTGACAACAGTCTTGAGTCCATAGAAAACAATTAATGCAGCAGTGGAACAAAAAACCAAGTTCTTCAGAAAGCGCTTTTGGGCTTTGACATAAAGGGCCCTGACACCTACTGTAACCAGCAGGCAGAAGCCCATACTAGGAACATACAGCACACGCTCTGCTATTACAAAGCCAACATAGAAAAACAGGTTTGTGGCAGGAACGAAGGGCACTATTAACAAAGAGAGAGACAGAATGACAATGTTCTCGGTTGAAGGAAGCTGCAGTTTCTGAATTTCATGCTTTTTTAGGCCATTCTCTTCTTTTGATGCAAAGCTTGACTTCACCTCCAGTGTCTTGTACTCCATCTCTGGGTGACAGCTATGCCCATTAGCATTTTGCTTGCCATTCATTACAGTTTTCCCATTGAATTCTCTCTCATTGCTGGAGCCCTTCAAGCTAAAGTAGGCAAGGAGGAGGAGTCCTGCATAGAAGGCCACAGTGTGTAGATTCCTCCAGTCGCTGACTGCTTTTAGAAGAGGCACAGCATCCATAGACCAGTCAAAGCTGAGGGTATCTGGGCACAGCAACAGCCAGAGGTTCTTGGTTGGTAAGTAAAAGAAGGTCAGGGTACGTGTGAGAAAACTGTCTGAGTCAGCTGCTGGATTGTCAGAATTAGAAAAACTTGGGGGCCTGTTGCCCATCCAGTACAAGCGAACACCCAGCAGTGCAGTTCCCCAGGAGGTCAATAATCCAATGCTGAAGAACAGGGTCAAATTTTTTCTCTGAAAGAAAAAGAAAAAGCATAAATCAACACTAGGTATTTATTTGTGTAAATTATACACAACAAAGAATCAAGAAAATATCTGATAGAACTCTTTTTCAGTAATGGAAACAAACACAATAGATCTCCATCTCTGACATTTGGATCGCACCATGTTAGGGTACATTGTTGACCTACAGACTAAAGGAAATTACTCTTTCATTTAAGCTCTATCAAGAATGCATCACAGTGAAGCCTTCAGATATTTTAGGGCTGTCAGTCCTTGCTTAAGATTTAGTTGTATAACGCTTTTGAAATTCTTATTTTAGAGGAGTTTATGGAATCTTACATTAGATCCTATATAATCTTCTGGCTGTGACCGAAACACAAGTTTGCCTTAGCTAGATTTAAAGTCTGAAGGATGTTCCAGATCCATTTTCTTCAATCGAAGTCTCTCCTCGAGGCATTTCACTAGAGAACCAATTAAAATTTCCAAGAAAGCAAGAGACGAAAACAGACGCAGATTCCATATTTAGGTCTGCTAGCTCCTACCTATTAACTTGGAGCTTTCAGCTCTACCTACTCCAAAGTCCCACTTCATTTTCTATAAAACACAAAAAGTTTCACCTCCATATGAGGAGGAAGGGCTTCTTTACATTGAGAGTAGCAGAGCACTGGAACAGGCTGCCCAGGGATGTTGTAGATTCTTGTTCTCTGGAGACACTCAAAACCCACCTGGATTTGTTCCTGGACAGCCTGCTCTAGGTGACCCTGCCTTGGCAGGGGGATTTGAACTGGACAGTCTCCAGAGGTCCTTTCCAACCCTAACAATTCTGTGATCTCAGAGCCAAACAACACATTGGGGTTTTTTCCTCAAGCACACCATAATAAACGATCTAAAACTTTTCACATCTTTATATGTCTCTAAGTAAAATTATGGAAGCACATAGCTCACTCCACCTACCAATGTCATCATGCTAGCAACTTGAAGGATCTGCACTTATTTATGGAGTAGCAGAACATTTTCCAGCAGAAGCTGCTTCTTGGGTAAGCTCTGCTCTCGATTACATGGGCACCCTAAATGAAAGCTGGTTTACATTACTCTCTCTCTACGTAAAAGCTAAAATATATGGGGTTCTTATATTTCAATTTCTCAGATGCCTTTTGTAAGGAAAGAAAAAAAAAAACTATTTGCCAAATAGTTACAGATACAGATTAAGTGCTTTGATTATCTTTTCCCCATTATTACAAAGAATTATTTGTCAATAATTTTTCATTTAATTAGGTTTGTTTTTTCCATCTCACACTACACATTTGTGGGATGATTATTCAATGTTTACTTAGTTATTCAGAAGCAGAACCTAACAGTAGAATGCTTTATCTTATTTCTACAAAACAATTAATTTTTCTTCTTTGTGGGTGGGATCAACCCTTGATAACATAAATTACAGATGATTGCGTTGCTCCATTTTAGGTCAATTACTAAGTTTTCTACAGTTTACTGATATTTTCCTAAGAAGACACATTCTATTAATGATAATTTATAGTTTATCTTTAATGTATCAGGAAGAAATTTATACATTTTCACGTTTCTACAGAGTTCCTCCTTGTGAACTTTAAAATATTAAACATCAGTTAGATTCATTAATTTAGTTATGCTACATTATGGAATTTAATGGAGGCATTAGTAGGGAACTAACAAATTTATAATGGGAACATTCATGCACTTGGATTGTGAACATGTAAAAAATGCTGGCACTTTTTATACACAAAGTAAAGCCTGGGTCCAGATTTAATTTGCCATATTAATACCAGTTTGATTTACTAGCTTTTTTACATTCTGGATAATCCACAATGTTTTGGTAATATATCAGCCAAAACCCTCATCTACACATCATGATAACTACTTTCCCTGGAAAGCCTATTAGAACAACTTACTTTTATTTGTAAGCTGGGTAATACCTTACAACTCACTTCACATAAGGTTTCATCCATGCCTGCCAAAACTATTTAAATGCTTATAATGTTATAAAACGGTGTAATATAAAGCTGTTATCACTGTTATCACTGAAACTCCCAACTAAGTTTACATTTGGAATAAAAAGATTATTCAGATTTCATGGATTTGCATGTATGTCCTCACAGTAAAATCTCATGTCCCAGGTTTAACTTGTCCTTTCATTCTCATCATAGTTTTCTACATGACATTTTTTCTGTCCACCCTTCTGGCTCAATAATTTTCAAACTCATTTCCTTCAAACATACACATAAAACAACTCTCAAATATTAAGCATGACTTATTTGCTCTCTCATACATCCTTCTTATGAATCTCTTATGAGGAGGCTGCTAAGCCAGAAAGAAGCTGGAAAGTAAAAGATAGTATTTTTTGTTTCTTTGAGTTAGAAATAGTCTATTCTGGAAGGCTATGTACCACTTGAAAGATTAAGATATCACAAATATTAAGGAAGTGAAACTTGATTAACAGATGAAAAGTGAGCTTCCATAGACTGATTCGGCTGCTTTGTTATTTTGTTAATACTTACTTAACAACTGGAAGGAAATCTCACTTTTCTGAACTCCTAACCATTGAACTTTTCAATTAAATGTCAAGAAAGTTCACATTACAAAGTTCTCTGACAAAACCACATGAGTGCAAATATGCTATTCCTCATGGATAATAATGAAACCTACTAAAATTTTCAGGTCTTTCTCATATGTTAACCAAATACTAACAACTAGAAATTTGTCTCTTGCTTCTAACCCAAAAATGTTAACAATCTGTAGCTCAGAGCTAATCAGTCTTCACCACTGGAGTAACTATTTGCAGGCTGTCTTTTAAGCTTTACACTTAAGGCCTGTAATATCTGAATCCTCACACTTGTAGGTTTTACAAAGAACACAGATTATCCACATACAGGATTGTGTGTCATGCTGTAGCAAAACTTTTTTTTACTATTTTTTAATCATTTTACATGATTTTCAAAGGAAATGTCTAAGCACTCACTCATTGAGCTCAGAGATATCTGAGTAGGTTTAGCACCCCAACATAATCATCATTATTCATCATGCTGTAAGCCACTAGTCAAGTGGAGACTGAGCTCTGGTAGATTCTTAAACTCAGTTAACTGACATCAGGAGTGAAGTGCAAATTTCCTGTTGCTGCCTCAGACAAAAATGGTTTCCATTCTTCCCCAGATTTCACACATGGATCTTTTCAATAGTCAGTAGCTTTACAACCTTTTAAAATTACCTACAAGTTAAGGACAGTTAGCAATAACCTGTATAACACTGACTCACCATTGTGAATTTTCAGATTTCAGAGGAGGCTCAGTCTAGAGGCAAGAAAAATCTGTCCCTAACACTTAAACATCTGTCACAACAATTAAAAGTATGATGCCTTTTTCCTTTCTCTGTTTTTTTTTTTTAGTTTTCAGTTTTCCAATCTCACAGACAGCATTGGCCAGAAGGGAAAGACAAATTCATTCTCCTTTTTTTCCTCTCTCAACATTCATGATTTTTGCATAGCTTTTATCCCTCAGTGCTAATATAGTCAAAGATAAAGGTTTAGCACATATTTTTGCTTTACTTTCTTTAAGGCTTTGGAAGAAAATCATTCCAGCAATTTATTAAAATTAAATAATACCCCAGTAGACTTTTGCCTGCAAAGGAAGTGCTTTCAAAATGAACTCTGCTCAGACAAGCACTTTCACTAGTAACTCTTCTGAGCCTCCTGACAGCCTGTGCTACTCTGATCTGATTGTGTACATTCAGTGCAGTCCAGGAGCTGAAGAGATCCTCTGTAATGCTTGGCAGAAAGGATTTGGATTACTATACTCACGAGTCCTAATCCAGCCCATCTGCCATACATTTTGACACCCCCATAAATCCTCTAACCTTTCATAAGTAGCCATTTTCATCTGAGGAAAAAAATGAGCACTGATTTAGATCAGATTTAACATATCTCCTGCCTGCTAACAGGCAAGCACCACCACTGCAATTTTAGTCTTTCTGACTTTAGAAACCTTTTTCATCCCCCTACCAAAATCCATCTGCATGACCCACCCACATTGCACATTTCCCTTGCATTAAATCCTAATTCCTCACTTCATTATATTGCCCTTAAATAAGGCACTGCAGCAGATTTCTTAATTGGGCAGCCACTGCCAAAACTCAGTCATCACCTAAGTAGTATCCAAAGCATTTTCAAAAGACACCGTTCTTTTAACTTCACATTGTCCATTTCACAAACAGCATTAAATATGGCACATGATTGAGACAGTCCAGAAATCAGAATCATCACACAGAAAATGTTATTCTTAGAACTCAGGAGATACAGTGATGAAAGAAGATGTGTCATCAGGGATTACTCACAGGAGTTTCTTTTCCAAATTAGAGTTCCTTAAATATATGTTGGCTTGAAAACTGGGACTTCCAAAAGTACTAAAATGCTGCCAGATCACTAGACTTACAGCATCTTCTTCCCACCCTAGGTAGAGGTTCCTGGATAACAGATCTGCCAAGTTGGAGCCAAACTACAATTCAAAAACATCTCGCCACCAGGAATGAAGCTATTTGCTACAGCTCCTGCTGGGCCACAGTACTGAGATGGAAGTGGCCTTTAACGCTGCCTGACCACCTGCCCTGTTAATTCCTGCTTGCATGACCCACTAAATGAGGTTTACTCATATTCACTGGTGATGCAACAACTGACCTGAAGGTACGTTTTACCTCAGAGTTGGAACCCTGTCAACAGCTTTTCCAATATTGGGATCAACTGTGCATATTTAATGACATTTAATTCTAGTGTTAAGACCCCACACAATTTTTCTCCAACAAGGAAGTGCATTCACAAAACAGCTAAAGATTATCTGTACATAGTTTTATTGTAATTAGCCTGTAGCACAAGTTAAACAGTCATTATTACTACTGACTTGCCTTACATTAATTAGAGTTATAAATACTAGCATTTAAAATTGCCAAAGTCTCACTCTAAAATCCTTCATTCTTTAATATGGATTTTG